TGTATTGCCTTTGCCGTGAATCTTTACTTTACACCTCTCCTGTTGAAGCTGAGTTGTATACACTGCCAAGAATACAAGAATTGTGGGGCCAGAAGAAACCCAAAAAGGATGGAGCATGGTATTGTATCCCAGTGCTAAGGGTTCTGCTATGGGAGGGAAGATCACCCATCTCAATTGTAACAGATGTTAGGTAGGAGTTGGGTGCCTAGATGATCAAACTAGATTGCTTCTCAACATGCCCAGAAGCTAAAGTATAGGCATCTAGTGAACTTTTCAGGCTCAAACAGAGGCACCTAAAGAATCTGGACACTGAAGCAGTTTTGCAGCCGATGACAGGGTTGCACATAGAAACACACAATCAAAGCAAAATAGGGTAGGATAGGACTCAGGAGGTTATGTAGGCCAATCCTCTGCTCAAGACACAATCGTTCCTGTCTAAGCCATTCCCGGCTACTATTTGTTGAACCCAATCTTAAAAAATGCCAGTGATGAACACTACACAACCTCTCTAGGTAATCTGTTCCAGTTCTTAACTACCCTCATAGAGTGAGAGTTTTTTCCTAACATTCAACTTAAATTAATTTTGTTGTAGTTCAAGACCATTATTTCTTGCCCTGTGTCCTGAGGCTACAGAGAACAATTTATCACCATTGTCTTTATAACCACCCTTCATGTATTTGAAGACAGTTATCAGATCTCCCTTCAGTCTTCTCTTCCCCAGACTAAATAATCCTTTTCTCATAAGTCATCCAGCCTTTTCTCATCATAAATCATCTTTCCTAGACCTCTAATATTTTTATGAGTTTCCATGAGTTAGGTTTCTCCCTCCTTCCCATAGTTTCTCCCTAACTGCAATTAGGGACCTCTGAATACAATTTGGATCCGGTCATCATTTATTTCCTTAGACCATTTAACAGACCTTGGTGAAGGAGATATTTGGAGGCATTTTTAGGGTTACATCTGATTCTCTTTGATAAGCTGTAATTGTGCGTCCCACAAAAGAGTCTGTCTTCAGTTACAGAATCGTTAATGATTCACTCTCAGCTCAGCTTCCAATTCTGTAGGAGAAGAATCTGTTCACCAAGAAATCCTATCTCACACATTTGCCAGGACAAGCAGTGGAGTCCTCAAACATAGGTCCTTTGGGTGGGTACCTCCTGCCACGTTAGCAGGGCAGGGTGGACAGGTTAATTAGCACTGACTTTCAGCAGTGCTAATCAGCCTATCAGCACTGCTGTGTGAATCCAGCAACACTGTGATTCAGTAAGTAGCCCATGTGGAGTGCAGGAGCCTAAGTGTGCTGCTGTCTGATGCAGCAAGTTTGTCAGGTAGAAAACCACTGTGAATTTTTGTGTATATGGCAGAGTGATGGGAAATGCTGTGGGTAGAAACATGCCCACTTACTCTGCCACTCCCTCTCAGAAGAGGGGTCCTCCACTATTTTGTTACCCTTCAGCCTGGAGACGGGGACTGGGATTTACACTGTTCCTGTCAAGTTTTAGTTTTATTTCACCTTCAGTAGTGTTGTCCTCTAATCTCAATATTTGATGCCTTATCAAGGAAGTGGGCCAGCTAGTTTCCACCTTCAGCAAAGGGATGTGCATGACTTTCTCCTCCCTCCCCCAAGTCAAGGGAGGGGGCACTTGGGGTTGACCAACAGGAAACAGATCCAGAGGAATGGAATCAGCAAGAAAGTAATAAATGAGGAGTTAGACCCAAATTCAGCTCAGCAGCTGCATTATTCAGTAAACAAATTCTGTGCTTCTTGAACTCCCATGACTCCTTTTTCTTGTTAGCTGTTTGAACACATACTGACCTGAACACCTGCTCATATTTTTATTCTTAAATAATATCTAAGTTTCTCTGGCAATATAGCAAAACCTGTGAACTGATGATATCAGATAAAAAGTGGCCTTGTAGTACTACTTCAGAGGACATAAGGTAAATACAGTGGAAAACTAGGAATAGTTGCTCCTCCTGAAATGATCATCATTGTTTGATAACAGATTGATGATCAGTGATGATTGGTGATCATCAACTTGTGAAGTTCCAGCTACCATTAGTTCAAGCTAGGTCCTGATACCTTTGCAAACTCTTTATTTTGGATACTACTATTTTTCTCCCATCTCCCCCATGACAGATGCACAACTCTTCTTCCCTTACACATCCATGCTATTGAAATGTTAAGGGCAAAAGGCTTTTTGCCAGTTCCATGGCAAAAAGATTTTTGTTAGTACCCGTAGTGAATATATTCCTTGATGAATATCAATTTTTTTTTGTTTTTATAATAAGGACAAGACTGTTTAATTAGAGAGTGAGAAACTCAGTTCTGAAAATAGATTTTTAACACTGTACTGTACTGGTCAATCTATATGGACAAATTACAAGTCTCCAATAACAATATGTAACATTCAACTTCCATCTTCTAGCAAATGCTATAAAAAGGAATAGACTGTTCTTTGTCATAGCAAAAGTAGGAAGTGATTGGACACACAAGGAAAAGATGGAAAATGAGGGTACGTTTCAACTGTCATCCTGTATCCAAGCAAAAAAATAAAGATCTGGTACAAAAAGTAATGAAGAAGAGTAACTTACCTTCACCCATGTAACAGATTAAATATTTTAGAATCCTAGCAGGTTTAAGTTAAATGTTGCTAGGGCTGCAGTTCATATTTGGGTTATTTTACAAGAACTGATCACAAAACCTGTTTCTCTAGTCACACTGTACCTATGAATTCATGGAAACAATTTTTTGTTCAAGAAACTCTCTCATTTTTGTATAGATTAAAATATTCTATTTGTTCCTTTGGTAGAAGAATCCCCTTTAATGTATATATCTATATTGCGTTGTTCAGCAGTTTTGGATGTCTCAAGACAAAGGCCAATATTCCCCAAGTTTGAGTGATTTCAAGTCTAATAAACCTGTTGTGAAATATTTTCTGATTTTTGTTTGTTCCTACTTACTATTCGTATCGCTTGTATTTTACCAAAAGCTCCCATCCCGCCTTGATTTCCATCATATTGTAATACTCGTAGATACTCATTTTCTTCCCTCTTCTAAGTCAGTGGTTAGGAACTCTTTCTGGCTGCTGGCACCACTTCTCCCCCCTGTGTAGTCGCCTACTCTGCTGTTGCTGCTGCCAAATACCCCTGGCTCTGAAGATCAGATCCAATGGCTATGTGGGCCAGATCTGGCTCACGGGCCATAAGTTGCCAACACCTGCTCTACTTACTGTTTTGTCAAGTGCTCATATTCTCTCTGTAACTATGTACAGCATGCATGTTCAGTAAAGTAACTAAAAAGAAATTCCACAGAGAAAGGACCTACCTGAGCAATAGAGTAAGTTCATTTTTTACCTAAATTGTGTTGCAAGCTCAAATCTACTTTGCTGTCCCCACTCACTCAGACTTCTTCTTCATCATTACTGTATTCCACCCTCCTCCTCTGACTGAAGATTAATAGTTTGGATTGTTTTGATTATTTTCTCCTGAAGAGGCATTAGCTTGAATTTTCTCCATATTAAATATAATGTTGTGTTCTAACCTCTCTGGTTCCCCTTATATTATTTCTACTACCCAACACTCAACCCCATTTCCCATCATTTGCCACAGAAATCAACATGCAGTTTATTCCATGTATCTGCTTTATTAATAATGTTAAAATAAAACTAGACCTGACACTAACTCCAGCAACCCTCACAGACATCACTAAACTTTCTCTAAGTTTTTATATTGCTCTTTGTCTTTTTGCTCATAGTTCTTCAGCGGATTTCATTCCAAGGGATAAATGGAATGTTATATTTAGTATAATGCAAATTAATTTTTCACAGATGATTCTGAGATTCATACTCTATCAACTGCCTAGTTGGATCTCCATGTATTAAATCTTCTAATGTTTTCTCTATCAATTAATTTTGTGATTTGATACGAAAAATGTAATCAGGTTTCTTTGACATGATTTGTTCTAGGCTTTGTAGGCAATGTAGGTACTGAGATTGCAATTATTTTGCTATAGTAACTTTTGGCATCTGCTGACATTAATACTTGCTTCACTGCTCACACTGTACTTCTAAAAACAAAAAGTGATAAATATATTCTTAGCCACATCCAATTTTTTTAAAGTTCAGAATAACATACATTCATTGACATAAGAATTACTAATTTAAAGGAATTGGTGATTTAACTAAAGAAATCTAATCCTATTTAGAAGTAGCCGTTGGGTGTTTATCACCTGGACTAACACATCAATAAATATGTATGTTCTTTACTATGATCCTAAGCGAAGAAAGAACAGTTTACTGTCTAGGTATTAAAAAGAACTATTCTTATTCAGGCTTTTACCTGTCTGCCTAAGGAATAAATACACATATTTACTATCATAAGCATGAAAGCTGAGCTCTAGCTGCCATTTTTAAATAGACAAAAAGATACAGAGTAACTTTGTTTTCTGGGGAAGAAACAAAATTCTATTGTACAATGGTTTTACGAGGAAGGAAAAAGTACATCAAATGGTCTCACAAACTTGACTGTGCCCCTTTCATTTTTAACAGATTCAGCTTTGTTCTCATTTTGTTATACTTGAATTAACAGGCAGATAAGTAATTTACTTAACCCTTGCAATACTTTGGTTTGAGACTATAAAAACTTGCATGCAACCTTCATTCAAACTAGTAAATGCTAAAAGGATATGGAATGCACTGGTGGTTATCTTACACTTATACAGAGAGAAAATATTTGGCACAAGGTTAGAGCTTTAAACACAGAAAAGAATATACAATAAACTGTTACATTGGGCCTACAGTACTTCATATATGCATACATACATATGTGTGTGTGTGTACATGCACACAACCATTTTCAGAAAAACAGTGATTCCCCCTCCCCCTGCCCAGAACCCAGCTTCCAATCCAGTGCGCACAGATGTAGTGAGCATAAGGAGCTCCCCTTGTTTAGAACCTTTCACACACATTTTTGTAATTGTACAGACTTTCTAGACTTACCTCCTCTATGTATAATCAAAGAAGTTTCACTTCCAACAGGACATTCTTTAAGTATATCCACTACTTCTGCATGGCTCAGGTTCTGTACATTCTGCTGGTTGATCTCAACAATGAGGTCACCTTCACACAAACCAGGGCATCCCTGAATGTCTAGAATTTGCTTCACCCTCTGTCCTGTAGGACTGTCTGCTATAGTGAAGCCAAAGCCCTGGGCCCCTTTCACAATGGTTAAGGTCATGAGTTCAGCTTGTGTGGCCCCAGAAGAAGCCATTGATACATTATCATCATGAACAGGTGGTGGGAATGTGCTATCAAGCTGACTATCTGCTGGAATGGAGTGCAAGGAATGTGGTGGTCGATCTGTTATATCTGGAACAGATTGAGAGGTCCTAGATATGTATTCCAAATAAGTTTCATAGTTATGTCTTCCATTTACCACTACTGGAGGCCTCTCCATTACTGCAAGTGGTGGCACCATGCTGTTGGCAGGATCTTCAGGATCAAAGGGCAAAGGGTATCCACGGCATAGCACCAAGTTGACACTCTGACCAATAGGAACAGATTGGAAGAGTTTGACTACATCTGCGTGAGTATGTCCAAGGACACAAACTTCATTAATATAGACAATGACATCACCTAGAAAGAGAAAAAATAGTGACAACATGAGATAATGTCAATTGCTATAGGCACAAAAGGAATGTATTTATGAGGCTAGGCAAAGGTATCACTGTTTTACTAAAAAGTAAAACAATTAGACTCATGATTTCGTGCTGATACACAGGTGTAGTTTGTCTGTCTATAGAGGTAAATGAGATGAACACTGAAAATATTTTTCCTTTTCCTGAAATTCAGGAAAAAATACAACCTCAGAAACAGATCCACTCCTGTTCCTCAAAAATTATTTTCTGTTTCTCTTCCTTAGTCCTTCAAATGTTGTCTCAATTGTATTCAAATTATATTCAAATTATACATGTTTGAATGATATTCAAATGATACAGTAGAGATTTTTTACAATTTCTTTTGAAAGCGTACCTGGAGCTCATGACATCAAAAGATTGGTATAAAGAAAAAAATAGGAAAATCTGTAACGTTGTTGGTGGTTTAAAATACTGCTGGTATCAAAATTTCACTTTTTGGAAATGTTTGTATGTGACTGATTTTTGTTTAGTAGGGAAAAGTTTATTATACAAACACATTACCATACAATTGTGAAGCTCATGTAATCCCTATATGCAATCTCTACTGGAGTCTCTATCTATTCCTTTGTAGCTAATACACAATATTTTTGGTGTCATATTCTATGGAAATAGTTATAAGAAAGTGAAAATTAGGATTAAAGCAAATATTGCAAAAAATTTGATTTCTATAATATTATTAGACTTTTTAGTATCTGTGTCTGAAAAAGGAATAGAGTGAATGCTAATTTAGGATTAATAATTAATTTGCATGAAAGAAAAAGCATTGTCCTGCATTAAAGGATTTCTACAAATGCCTTTGAGAATTCACTAGTTGCCATCAGACACCAAGACTTTACCATAGGCTAGAGAGAGAAATTACACACAAACTCATATAAATGATCAGAAACCAGTTCAAATCTGTAGCACAACAGAAATTCACTGCACGTAAATCACTTTCAAAATAGCAGAAACTGGTTTAAAATAAACCTGGATGGCTGCGGTATCAGACTTAACTGAGTTAGGTTAAATCAGTTTATTGAACTTCTGTCCCAGATCCCCTCCAGATTCAGAGTTAACTCACAGTCCCCCAGCGTCTCAGAATACTTTGCCCATGTAATGCCTGCCCCTTCAGGGTGGGTGGGCTAGCCTTGGCCCAAGCTATCTGCTCCAGCCCAGCAGAGAGGTGTGATTTAGCACCCTGAAGCCCCATGGTTTCTGGCCTGGAAAAATGCAGGCATGTGGCTGCATTTCTGGAATCAAAAATGAATGTCTGTTCACTTGTTTATTGGTTCCATGTACAGAGCTTAGACTAACTGGCAAAGATTGAATCAACTTAGCCTCAGGCTTTTTGATTGTCTGTACTTAGACACAGTGATTTCCTATTCTAAGTACAGACCAAATTGCATGCTACATATAACTATGTTGCAGCTGTTAGCAAATACAAATGCTGATTTTTTAATGGTGACCACAGTATATATGGAAACAGATGCAGCATTTTCAATCAAAGCAATATTCATGAGTTTTCACCCTTTGCTTATACAGCAGCCATTTTCTACTGAAGAAGAGTTCACAAGTAAGTTCAAATTCATTTAGGTGTCTTCCAATTATCATGATTGATTAATATATTTATGAGTACCAATACGCATTAATATTATGGTAGTGCCTACAGGCCACAGCCCAGAGTAAAATGTTTAATTTAAATAAAATAAATAGCAATTAATTTGTACAAACATTACAAATATAAACTGTCTTATTCCCTTTTTCATGATCAGTAATCCCAAATGTTTGCTACTTGCGTCTCCTATGCTTGATTCTAATTATAGGTACTAGAGACAGAAGGTAGAGTACAGATTGACCAGAAATCAGATACAGAAAGGCAGAACTGGGTGCGTTCTGAATGCACAAGGAAGGGTGCATTAGGAGAGCTGAGTTCAGGCCCTGACACTCAGGAGAATTCTCAGGGGTTGTGTGGATGGGTGAAGGGAAAGCTAAAGGGGTTTAGTGTGGATTGTGCCAATCCACATTAAGGCTGAGTGCAGAACTGAAGGCAGGATATAGTAAGGGTGACCACCTTTTCAAAATTGAATGGCAGAACACATGCCCACCTCCTGCATCTCACTGGCAGCATGGTCAGAGCAGAGTTGAGCAGAGCTGGGGCAGATGTGGGTTGCCTACTATGAGCCTGGGGCTCCCTGCCCTGTGGGCTTCCCCTGGAACCCCATGTTAGCCTTGCTGACATGGTGAGGCATCCCTTGCCCACCTGGCAGCAGTGGGGGACACAACACCATGCCACTGCCACCCCTGCTGCTGCTGGGTGGGCAGAGGAGGCCTTGCCATGGCAGCGTATCCAGTGTGGGGCTACGGGGTGGGGAGGGGGAAGACAGCAGGGCAGGGAGCTCTGAACCTGCAGTGAGCAGCCTGCATCCACCCCCATCCCATGCACAAATATGGGGGTGGCACATGCCCCCCCATGCCATTCCCATGCCCCCTGGATGAGCTGCTCATGGCTCCATCCCACTCTATGTCCCAGCCCCAGGCCCCATGCACTATCCTGGCTGGGCAGCGCCCCAGTCCCTGCCCCACTCCCTCCCTCACTATGGGGGCCTCAATCTGACCCTCACCACTCCCTGCACTCCCCCTCCCCTGCCATAGACTTACCTGCAGGGAGCTGCTCTCCATGCTGCCTGGCTGCATCCCCAGCCACATGCATGTGTGCGGGCATGCACATGCACATGATGCCCCCTGTGTCTCACTTCCGGCAGCCCTAAGCTGCCCCTTTCAGGAATGCTGCCAGCCTGCAAAGGGAAACTTGTCATTTCCCGTGGTTTTCTGCAGTGAACGGAAAACCCAGATACCTGCACAATACTGTGAATCTGGGACAAATGGTGTCCTGGAGTCACACAGCTCAGGAATGGCACTTGATGCTCCCCTTCCGGGACTGTCCTGCCCAATTAGGGACGGGTGGTCACCATATACATAGTAGATGTACCCTTGCTGTAAAGTTCCTCCTAATTACATAGATTATTTGATCTATAAGGATATAGCATCAATTTTATCTTTTAATAGTATGTCAAGATTCAGTAATTAAATGAAACTCTTTTGTTGGGAGGTGGGGGGTTCAGTGGACTTGTTTCCAATGAATTTGTGAAATTGTTTCCCTGAAGCACTGCAATCAAGGATCTAATCAAGCAAGCAGAGGGGGGAAAAGTCATCATCAAAATGCCACTTCAGAGAAAGGCAAGAGTGTTTTTGTATGTAAAAGTGAAATGGTCAGTTCACACATGATCAGACTCTCTAACAACCTGACAGGAGTTAATTGCATACTTTTATAACTCATAGGCATAAGCAGTGATTCATGTAGTGATTTCTCCAGAGGGGGCCAAGGAAGCAAATGCTGACAGACTTTGTTTAAATGCCCAAGAATGCTATTCTTAGAAACCCTAGGAGCCATACTCTGTGAAAGTGCATCATAAATAGGTCTCAAAATAACAGTAGAAGGAAAACTATGGCTTAGGTAGTTCTGTGAGAGCAGAGATGATGCTGAGATAAGCAGTTGATTGTATCTGGAGAAGACACAATTTGAAAATGTTAAAAGTCAGACTTAAAATTAAATAAATGGATAAAATGCTGTACTGAATACACATGGCAGAAAATTTATTTCTTCTTTATTTACTATTTGCTTCTTGCATTAATCTTCATCTGAAAACTTTTGTGTCAAAAGACCAAAGTTTTGAATTTGGCATATCTAAATATGTGAAGGCTGTCAACTTGCAAGTCACATTTCTGCCTGAAATATCTGCATTTACTTTGCTACAAGTAACACCTAACATTACTGTCACCAGTGTTAAGTGACTGGAACAATGCTCTGTGCCCCACCACCCCTTCCTCCACCCCCGATTTTTTAACACAGTGGATTTGGTATCACTTTGCGTTGAGTTGGTTTCACAGCTTAGTTGAGGCTCAACTGCATTTACTGTCTCATGAACCAGCACAATGACAACAGGCTCATTCACTTTTTTGGAGGGAACTCAGCTGCATTCTCAGCCCTGACTCTAGAAGAGGGTGTTTACCAATTCTGGTAAAGCTGAACCTGAAGAGGCAGCAGGCAAGCATGAACAGAAAGGAAGCACAGAGAAGGCATGCAGGGGTAGAGAACTTGGTCAGAGGATATTTGTGATATAGATCATCTACTACTGACCGACTGTGCTAAGCGCATTTCCCGTCGTTGTAATCCACTTATGTCTATGACACTCAGTTATGAGTTGAAACTTGCTGCACCAGCTCCATGTGTTCTACCTAACTGGGAGTGATGTAGGTGCTTCAGTGCATGTTCCAATTAATAGAAACATCCCATAAAAGAATTTACAGATAGACAAGAATGGCGAATGCTTTTCCATGGAAACAACTCTTTGAAAAGCTTACTGGAATTCTCCGTTAATATCTATGTTACAATTTGTGAAAGGTTTCAAAATAATATTGACAGGTATAATATTCAAAATAATATTGACTAATATATCAGGTACCTTGCCACTTGGATAAGGGAGATGAGGTTGATGTCAGACACTTGGATTTCAAAAAGGCCTCTGACTTGCTCTCCCACAATGTCCTCATGGTTAAATTGAAAGTTCGCAGCCTCAACAACTTAATGGTCTGGTGGTTGGGAAACTGGCTTTGAGGTTGGACCCAAAGTGTGTTAGTAGACAGAACTGAGTTGACATGGCAAATGGGTGACTAGTGGTGTCCCTAAAGGCTTAGTACTTGGACCAGTGCTTTTCAACATTTCTATCAATGATTTGGATATGGGTGTGAAAAGCATACTGGCAAAGTTCATGGATGACACCAAGTTATTGAGGAGTGTGGTCACACTGGAAGACAGACTGAGGATACAGGCTGGCCTGACAGGCTTGTAAAGTGGGCTGATGTAAACCCGATGATGTTTAACACCGAGAAATGTAAAGT